TTTCCAACGACTAAAAACAAACTTACACCATGATTGAAGCCGGCGTGATAAGCCTTCGGAAAGGTGATGACGAATTCTCCTGCTCTCTGGTTACATGCATACACACGGACACCAGCCTCTCGAACTCGAGCAGGATTCATGAGAGTAACTAGTTGAAAAAGAAGGTCGGGCTGGGCTTCAAAAAGATCTGGAGCTTCTTTCTTAATAGCAGCCTCAAATTTTTCGGCGTCGTCACCTGGTATTCCATACCAAGTCTTTGTTTCTCCCCAGTGCACTGAAAAAATACCGTCAAGCTACTGTTTAAAGCCAAAAGCAAATAAACTTACTGTAATTGATGCTCGATGTGTAATGGTCCTAATTCGACGATATAATCATGTATGAGAGATAGTTAATCATCAACTCACCTCGTTGTGCCAACAGAAGGTAGCAAATACCATTCCAACATAAGTCCAAGGCACTGTCATACCAGAGATATCAGACTTGATATAACGGAGAAGCGAGTCGGAAAATATGGGTATATTGTTCAGATTCCATCCATCTCGAGAATAAGGATCAAGTGGGTGGTTCTCTAACGTTGGCATAGCGCTATACATCTAATAAATTTATTATACAGCGCTTTGAGATATAAACGTACCTTCCATGAGTCGTAGAATGCACATCCGCACCATATTCGATTTCAACAGTCTCGTACGGCGATTGGACCAATCTCCAAAATTCGTGTTCCACGTCATATTCTGATACACGAACTTTACCTATATGATTGATGAAAGGATCATCTACATCCATAGCTGATTCCATAGATTGCGGCGGATGACTTTCAAACCAACGCCTTCGAAATTCCATATCTCTAGCTTGGAAACTGGCTAATGTATGTTCCTCCCCTTCGTCGAATCCGAAATCCTGGCCTGTACCGAAAAGACATGTGTGACAATACCATTGACCCTTTGGTATTGATTGCAAAGGAGGGTCAAGGCAGTATATGTGAAAACCTGTAGATAATTGAGTAACCAGTTGACTAAAATGCCTGAGACGTCACCGCAATCGCAGCCATCGCATAATAGCATATTTGAGTCATCATTTTTTTCCTGGCATATTTCACAATTCTTAAGAGTGACTTAAGTATACAATTTTATGGAGGAAAAAATGTATCGACATACTTCACCGATAGGAACGTGTACCTTGATATCTTCAGTCGCGAGAATCTCGGCCGGCATTAGCAATGAGGAGGGTTCAGCTTTATCTTAGATTTAAGAATGTATTAGAATATTCTCACATTATCTGATTACACACTTACTATCGTCATTGCTTTCAGGCCCGTGAAGGTTATTCTCGTTATCATCTGGTACTTCTGACAAAGGACTTGACAGATGAGAAGATCCGGCTTCGTTTGTTTCCGCCGTGACACTGGCGTTTAATCGACCCATTCGGCTAGCGCTTGGGATGTTGTGCGCTTGGTTATTTCTTGGCGTTCCAGGGGAGAGCGAAGGGGAATTCCGTACATGGTTGTAGAAGTTTTCATAAGGTAAGATTATCCGTGTATAGGCATTTCTCAGTTGCGCAGATAAACCGGGTATTCCGGTATATCCCAAAGCTCGCCCCAATTCGCCCCATCGTTTGCTCTTTGTTACCTACAAGAATATTTTAGTATTTGAACAAAACAACTTGATGATCCTCAAACAAACCGTCTCATAGCCACCGGCATTTTGAACCTCTTTCCTCAATAGCCATAAATCAAGGGGTTTATGGTTTACAGTAGGAACTGAGACTCGCGAATTCCCTTGTTGTTTATGAAATCGGTAAAGCTGTTCCAGGAAGTTCAGTTTAGCTCGAGAAGCGGCCTCAATCGAGTTTAAGCGCTGAACTCGAGTTTTGAACCGGAAGGTCTAATGGATTAGAGAGTATTAACATTGTATATATTACAACAACTTTGACACTAACTTCTGTATCCGTCACGAATGGCATGTTCCAATCTTCCGGTGGAACGACCTTGCAAATGCCATATTCTTGGGCACGATCTGATATTGAACGAATGTAATTTAGAGGATCAGAAAATTCTTCCGAAGTGGGATAATACGTTGGACAGTCCTCTAAACCAAAAGGGCGAGGTTTTGGTGTCTCCAAATTACGGCGGCGCTTTGTCTTTACTGATTGCAAATCAAGAACTCGGGGGGCTGGTATAGGAGCAGTTGGAATATCGTCAAATACAGAGGGACGGGTATCCTCTATACCCATAGAAACAGACATTTCACGACCAGAGCCAGGAAAAGGAGAGACAGATCTTGTTTGCAAAGCGGCAAGGGCATCTATCTTCGACTTGCGGGGCGCTCGCCTGCCCTCGGGCTCTTCATTTGGAGGTACAGAATTTGATTCTTCTGATACAATAGACGAGGCAAAAGTAGGCTTTGAAATGGGGAGAACTCCCTCAACGGGGATATCCAGGGAGGAAGTGAGCGTTGCGATGGGCCTCGTGAGATGGTCATTGGTGGTTGGGAGTGGACTGCCTTCATGTTGGGGTCGACGAACCCTGCCCATAAAAAAACTTGCAGAAACCATTTGTTACGACGATTGAGAGAATTCTACACCCCTTGGAGGAACCCAAGTACTTAGGTTATGAAAAGTCCACACTGGTGTTAATTTCAAACCCCGCCACAAGAGGGGATTGAGCTCCCATGAAGCGCAAACAGAAACTCACGTTTATTCTCATTCGTTTTTGCATATATAGATTTTATATATTTTTCTACAATTTTAGTTTGTGAACCTGGTAAAAAAAACTACCACTTCACAACTGACCGCAGAGCTTAGCGGCGCTTACTAAGTACATTGCCACTTATGCGAATTTTCGCTACGACAGAACAAGGACGAGACAAGTCATTATTAACTCAAGAAAAGAATTTACATGGAAATTATTTCTGGCCAAGTTGTCCCAGAGACCGACTTGCGCCTCTTTTAGGATTAGATAGCATACACTTTTAGTATGTAACAAAACTACAATTCCCGAACTCAACACACGTATTACCTAATCGAACTCAAAGCCATCCACTGAGTCCGAGTCTTTTCAGATGTCGAACAATAACCCGCCTAATATTTTTGGGAGTTTAGGCCCATCTTCGACCCCAAATCTGTTCAGCACAAATAGCTCTGGTCCCAACGCATCAGCCCCATCCTTATTTGCCAATAATGCAGCCAGTAATACTTCCAAATCTGCAAAGCCACCACCGGTATTTGGTCAGACCAGCAGTCTTGGAACTGCCTCTTTTCGTGCACCCGGTGCTTCTCCATCATTAGGGGTACCGCCAACAACCAGCTCGGCTTCGAACACTGGTAACCAAAGCTCAAGTTTTTTTGGTGTTCCCAAAAATAATACTACTCCCATGCCAATGCCAACCATTGGTTCCTCTTCAGCAGCGATGTTTGGCGGGACACAATTGAATCCAAATTCTACGTCTGATAAATCACCATTCTCGAGTCTTCCAGCTGGTAGCCTATTTGGTTCTGGGGCTCAATCATCGAATCCAAACACTGGAGAGACACAACCTAGTCTATTTGGAGCCAAACCCGCGACAACTAGTTCGGATACGGTCGCCCAAACATCTAACCAACAACAAGCGACAGGTACATCAGCATCTTCATTATTTGGCAATACTCCCAATACATCTAATTCCAACGGTAATCGTCTTATAATGGGACCTTTATTTTTGAAATTGATTTTCCTTCAGCTACTCTCCCCGTTTCCAATCTATTTGCCAATGCACAGAAAAAACAGGAAGGAGGTCAACTATCCTCGACTCCTTCGTTATTCTCATCCTTGCCTCCCAAACCAGTCACTGCGGAATCTGCCAAGGATGATAAGACAAATGATCAAGACGCATCAAAAAGCGACAATAAAGCCAATTGTAAGTCATTTTTGAGAGCACTTGAAGGCGAGCCTCAAATTTACTATTTTTAGCTGTGTTCATACTTGGAAGTTCTAAAGACACACAGGCAAAACTGTTCGAAGGATGTACTTCGACTCCTTCAGGTATGTTTACACACCCACATGTTTTAGAAGTATAAATATTGTATACAAGCTCCTGCTCCTACTGGCTCAACGACAACGCCTGCAAGTACCACTGTCCCCGCACCATCTATGTTGCGAGGGAAAACGGTGGAGGATATTGTTAATCGATGGACCACTGATCTAGAAACACAAGCACGAGCATTCTCTCAATTTGCCAGCGAGGTAGCGGTTTGGGATAGGACCCTTGTCGAAAACGGGAACTATGTGAGTTTACACCATAACACCATCAAAGCGATTCATCAACGTTTGTCAGATTTCAGCTCTGTATGCTGCTGTCATTCAAGCTGAATCTACTCAGGCCTCACTCGATCAGACCTTGGAACACGTCGAACAACAACAGCATCAGTTAATCTCGACGCTAGACCAATATGAGAAGACAACGACTGACGTACTTCACGGTCCCGGTGGCGTTATGGCATCTACTGAAGGATTGGGATTGGTGGATTCGGAGCGTGACAAAAGGTATGTGATAGTGGAGTCGAGGGCAAGGTTGTACTAATTTGGCCTCAGCTATGCCCTGGCAGCTAATCTTTATACGCAATTGGATGATCTATCACACTCGTTAACGCAAATGGTAGACGCCATCAACGGATTGAATATTTCAACGGCGCCCAAGGCACCATTAGGAGAACATTCAAATGATGATCCAATTTCAGCTATAGCTGGGATTTTGAACGCGCACCTCTCTAGTCTTCAATGGATTGATGGCTCGTTACGGGAAATGGAAAGTAAAGTTAAAGATGCTGAGCGGAAAATACATGATGTGGGTAATACGCATGGGTTGGATGGGTTTTCTAAAGTACGGAGCTTTGGGTTATCCTCCTCTCGTCGTTAGTTGTTATAACTGTAAAATTTACGGGATTGTTGAAACTGTCCAGAAATGATTACTCCATCTCTATTTTGTCCCATCGATAGCTAGGCTTTGTGAGTTGGGACTTCGTGGGCACCTATGGCTCAATGGCAGAGCGCCAGACTTCTAAGCTTGTCCATCTGGAGGCTGCGGGTTCGAGTCCCGCTAGGTGTAGTTGTCTTTTTTCTTCATGGCTCTTCCAGAGCCTGTCGAAGTATTGGTGGGGTGGGTAATGTTTATTTTATACCTCACTCAGTCAGAGGGGCAATTGTATGTACAAACGCTACCACGTGCTCCCAATCACTGTGTTGATACATATCTTAACCTTTTCTACTTTCCGTCAACAAAAATAGGAGTTTAACATTTATCATGCATTAAAGTACAAGTTACAGTGCTTTGAGCCAAATATTTATACCACACTGTAGCGTCCGGCATTGAGTGAAGCGTTTCGTGATTCTGCCTGAAGGGCGGCCGCCGAAGCCTCGACCAGAAGCCTTTTAATCTCTCTAACCGCTTGCTCAACCTGAAAGTAGGAGGCGTCCGTCAGTGAATGTAAAACAATGTTGCCAATCCATTTCACTTACTCTGTACTCCTCATTTGACTCAACAAGTAAATGTAGCTTGGGAGGACCTTCGGGCGGAGGCTCTTTTCCTGACTCATAGTAAATACCTGTAAAATCACTTACTCAGTACATCAGATGTCACAGGAATCAACAGCAACAGCAATACCTTTATTCGTAACAGAAGCTCCTGTCATGTCGATTAACTATCGTAGAGGTCAGAGTCTTATAACATTATTCCCAGAACATGCATATTACCTGTGTCATAGTCTCCTTATTGGTCACTCGCCAACGGGCTTTCTGAGGATAATCATTGATAGGTATGATGGCATGGAAGTCGGTCGCGTCAACTTTGTTTTCAAGATGGGACTGTATAACCAGCTTGGACGCCCGAGCTTGCGCATTTAGTTTTGCAACGACGCTTTGTGCTTGTCGATAAGCAGCAGTATCCTTTCCTGCTTTAGCAGCAGCTTCTTCAGCAGCTCGCAAGGAGCTCTGAATCCTCTTCTCATCTTCCCGTGTTTTAGCTAAGATCTTCAGGGCATCTGGAGCAGGTCCCCGTTTGATTTCCACCTTAAAGTTACCAAACGTCATATCGTCCACTGGGGCAGGCGCTTTCGGGGCAGGTGTCTCTTCAACAACCTTCTCTTCTTTCTCATCACCCCCTTCACCATAGGCTTTGCGTTCTGCTTTTTCCTTTGCGTCACGTTCCTTGTCAAGCCTATCCAAGCCTTTACCACCAAATCCAGATCCGGCTGTGTGAGCTTTACCAGTTTTGACTTTCTCTAAAAAGCCTAAAAAAACATTAGAAAGATGTAAGCACTTAGCAGAAACTATTACTCACCATTTGAAAGTGCTTCTAAATCTGACGGGACAGGCGCATTACTAGCTTTCAATGCTCGATATATGTCGACTGAATAACGATCTTGTTCAGGTGTAATAAATGTCACACATGTTCCCTTATTCCCCGCTCTTCCTGTCCGACCTGCACGATGAACATAATCCTCCATGTGATTGGGAGCGTCATAATTGATGACTAGCTTAAGTTGCTTAACATCCAACCCACGAGCGGCCACACTCGTTGCAGTGACGATAGGCACAACGCCGGCTTTAAAGTCGGCGATGGTCTGATCGCGATCTACCTGATCCTTCCCTCCGTGCAAAGACATACAAAGATACCCTTTACGCATGAGCTCACGCAGTAAATTATCTGCAGCTTCTTGCCTATCGACGAAAATCAAGGTTCGGCATTCCGGGTCCTCATTATACATTTGACCGAGAATTTCTAATAACCGATTGAATTTAGTCTCTTCTTCGCGCACTTCCACTATTTGTTCGATTTCAGGTGCCACAACAGAACGGCCTCCAACAGTAATCTCCAATGGTTTTCGAAGAATCTTACGCGCAAGCGAGTCCATTTGCTTAGGGAATGTGGCCGAAAATAATACCGTTTGTCGGTCTGGTCGGATATTGTTGATAATTTTCATGACCTGGGGTTCAAAACCCATATCGAACATTCGGTCTGCTTCATCCAAGACAACATATGTGACCCGCTTTAAATTTGTGACGCGACCGGAATTAGCAGTAAGCAGATCAATCATCCGACCAGGTGTGCAGACAATTATTTCAGCACCCTTCTTCATTTCCGCGATTTGTTCCTTAATAGGAGATCCACCATAAGCGCAAACAGCCTATATCTACTTCAATAATTAATACAATACTCAAAATACAACTACATACCCTGAGATTAAGAACTTTAAGAAAAGCTTTGCATTCACGATGAATTTGGACCGCTAGTTCTCTTGTTGGTGTCATTACCATGGCAATAGGACCCTCCATTTGCTCCAAAGGTCTTTGATCTTTGATATGTCGAAACATAGGAAGTAAGAACGCAATAGTTTTTCCTGACCCGGTTTTTGCCACGCCGATCACATCTCGACCAGACATGATGGCAGGAATAGCTTGAGATTGAATAGCAGTGGGTGCTATGTAATTCAAACGTTTGATGACATCTAGGCTGCCAGATAGTGACAGATAATAAAGTTAATGAAAACCGGTACGTCCCCCGAGAAATTCACGTACCAACTAGCTGGCATACCAAAATGACTCCATTTAGTTACCGGCTTCGGACAGTCGACTCCTCGAATTTTAATACTATCTAACTCTAATCTGAGCATTTCTGCCTCCTCCTCCGTCATATCCGCGACATCTGGAGGGGGGTGATAAAATGCTTTCCGGAAGCTTTCATACGTGATCTTAGAATGATCAACGACTGGTATATCTTTCTTCTTAGCCTTCTTAGCTGCCAAAGCCAGAATATCCTCAGGATTTAAATCTGTCGTATCTAATTCATCCACTGGAACTTCATAGTCCTCATCGTCACCGGCTTCAAGATCATCATTAAGAGGTCGAGTTTGTCGGTTTTTAGTCATCTTCTTTTTGTCTTCAGCATCAACTTTGGAAACTTCATCGACTACCGAAAACATGAAAGCATCTAGAGGATCTTCTTCGTCTTCCTCCATGGCATCTACATTCTTGAGAGCCTCTAACTCAGTTTCTGGAGTGTCGTCCTCATCGTCTTCAGCCTCCAAATTTTCGCCTATACTAGGTGCGTTCTCAGACATGGTCATGTCCACGGGTATGTCTCCAATGGTCTGAATTTTCCTAATCGATTCAACGGAGTCGTCCATAGAGGCAGCGGTTTTAGATGCTCTAAGGGTGTCTGTTTTAATTGGCAATCCTCTTAAACCAAGACTAGAGAGGGCTGCCCGATTTAAAGTCACGGACGGAGTGCCTGCATTAAAGAAAGATAGACAAAGTAATAGCGGTGCGAAAAGCGAAGGATATAACTTTACTGCTTACTTGTAACAGGGGCTGATTTGCCAGCCAATGCCATTGCTTTGGCTTTGGCCTCATCAAGAGCATTCTTCGTTTTCTTATCTTTTTTCCATGCCGCCAATTTTTCACGACGAGCTTTGAGCTTAGGATCTTCGACTGCAGGAGTCGGAGGCGGTGATTTCGGTGGCAAATCAAGATGGCGTTTATCTTTGTCCTTTTCTCGAGCTCGATCCCTTTCTTTGTCTCTGTCTTTCTCATTCTCTCTGTCTTTGCCTCTGTCTCTGTCTCTGTCTCTATCTCTGTCTCTATCTCTATCTCTATCCCTGTCTCTGTCTCTGTCTCTGTCTCTTTCTCTCTGTCTCTGTCTCTGTCTCTGTCTCTGTCTCTACCTCTTTCTTTGTCTCTTTCTCTATCTCTGTCATAGTCACGACCTCTAGAACGAGAGCGGCGACGTTCCCTGGAACGAGACCTACGTCTGTCATCTTTCCTTTTGTCCCAATCATCCCGTCGAGAATCCCTGCTATCCCTATCCGACTTGAAGTCCCTTGGGCGCCTGGTTGGCGAGGGAGACCGAGATAAACGATGAGATTGCTTACTCCTTTTGTGATATCCATGCCCTTCTGGTGAATGGCTTCGCTTATCCCTCGTCATCTCCAGCAAACGGATGTAGTGAAGAGGAAGAGATGTTATGTAAGTCGTACTCCATGTCACGTGTCACGCTGATATCATGATCCAATAATAAGCCCCTGTTAGCACGTTCGAAAGTCCATTCAATTGAATTGGTGAGGCGAATCATATCTTTTCTTCTTTTTTTTCTCTTTTGTTATTTCATGGCTTATACCTTTGCATTTCTGTTCTTCAGTATTTTGTATACGTTTGCTGGAAGTCAGCTACCATCAAATGGAGATAAAAAGCAGGCACCATACCTTGAGAAAAGCGGATTCGGAGTACCGAAGATTGAGATATCAGAAGAAATAATACGGTCCTGGGCACAGTATAGTCCTGCGTATTCACTTGCTCCGTATGATGTTCCGGAGAGATGCACGGTTACTTAAGTGAGTTCCTCAGTTATGAGCTTTTGTTTGCCCATTTAAATGCAACCTGTGTTAAGGTTAACATTGTATGAATATGGATCCATGTACTCAGGAGTGAAATAATCATAATTTTTATAGCTTCAACGACATGGAGCACGGTTTCCTACTATCGGAGCAGCTGCAAAAATGGCCACCGCTATCCTTAACGCACAACAAGCTATTGCCTACTTAGACCCTGCATTCGAATTTATCAAAGATTGGGAGTATGACTTAGGGTATGATGATCTAATTAATTATGGTGCTGCACAGTAAGTTAGTCACCCTTGATTATAAGGAGTTGAGTCATGATCTTCCTTTTTTTTCAAGGTCCTTTGAGACGGGGGAGGAAACATATAAACGATACTCTACACTTGTATCGCAAGATAATGTACCATTTGTGCGTGCATCTGATGGGACACGAGTCGTATTGAGTGCAACTGATGGTAAGTACGTGCCCTTTATCTCTCTGAGGTATGATTCTGAGAATAGGAAAGGGTTTGAATACGCAAGTTCTGGTATCTTCATACCTTCAGCTCCACTATTAATTAGTGAATCTGGAAACGTAAGGTTTTGTTTTCACATCGAGGCTGTTTTTTCTTAGAAGAAGCTTTTAGGATACCTTGGATGATAAAATGTGTCCTAATGCCGGAGATTCTGATGCACAAACTGAACAATGGCAAGACGTCTTTGCCCCCACTATAGT